AGAAGGAAGCTTTCCTGGATTTTCGGAGTAGGCGGCCTTAGCCAGGGGCTCGTAAGGTTCTGTTAAAAGTGTTGATAACACAACAGATAGATTCCACTTGGGGAAGATACGAGGTGTGCGAACATCTTCTAGTAGGAAGGATCTCATTAGTATGTTTAGAATGGCATGGTTTCAAATTGAGAGTTTGTCATGTTGAAGTACAGAGTGAAGTTCCGATCTGTAAACTTCTATCGTCCCATGTCGGAACATATTGTCCTGACGTAGATGTAGTAGAAAGTCCCCTACAATAGGGATGGTTTTTCTATTAGTTATAATCCCTTGTCTTCTTCTCCACTGGATGACATTTTCCCATCTGTTGTCATATATAAGGGAGGATGAAGGTCTTGATGATCTTACCACATCTTCCGGTGCAAGTCCAGAGTACACAGATGTCTGCATCTTTTCATGAAAACTTCCAGGCGGTTAGATGTAGGCTAGGCAGATTGTCATAGAAAATGTTTGACCTGGGCTGTTGTCTCAGATCTCGACAGGGAAGTAACTAGAGAGGCTCTTCCATTAATGGACTTAATAATCTGGGGAACCACGCTCTGCTGGGCCAGATTGGTGCTATCAGGATTATCATGCAATCCATCTCCTCCACCTTGTGGATGACCTTGTCAAGTCAAAACCATGGTGGGAATGCCAAAAGACCCGTCCAATCCATCGATCTGGTGAGCCATTGGATTGGGAACTGGTCTGACATAAACCGAAAGTTGATGGTTTAGGCAGGTGGCAAAGATATCTTGATGCGGTGTGTCCAATAACGTGGTTATCCAAGCAAAGATTTTGGGATGTAAGGTCCATTCTGTTGCCACTATTCTCCCCTGGCGGGAAAGGCTCACGGCAAGGATGTTCAGCTTCCTGGGAATATGTCTCGCTTCTATCCAGCAACTGATGGAGTCTGCCAAGGCAAACAATCATGTAGTCTCCATCATCAGAGAACTGGATCTGATTCCTCCTTGTTTCTGAATGTAGGCCACTACTGTGGTGTTGTCCGTGGCTATGAGGATGGACGAATGGAAGAGACATATTTCCCTTGCCAGGATGGTGTAATAAATGGCCTTCATTTCCCTGCAGTTGATATGTAGGATCCTCTCTCCAGTTTTCCACAATCCTTGTACCGTGAGATAGTCCATAGGGGCTCCCCATCCCGAATAGGACACATCTGAAAATAGATGGAGTTCGGGCGTCGTAGAGTCAGAGGAATGCCGCTCATCACATGATCTCTGTTAGTCCACCAATGCAGGTCCCGTAATAAGTAGGGAGGTAACTGAGTCTTAGTGATCGTAGTGAGTTGATCCATGTCTGTAAAGGACGTAACATCAACCTTCCTCTGAAGGTCATATCCTGTTGAGATGTTAGGTTGCCTAGAAGAGACATTCACCACCTCAGTGACTTGCTGGGTTGAATTGATAGGGGCTGAATTGATAGGGATTGAATCATCGAAATAGTCTTGACGAATCGATCCTCTGGTGGACATAGATATCCTTTGTTAAGTTGGAAACCTGCTCCGATGTATACGATGTCTTGAACCGGAGTGGTCTCGGACTTGGAGGGATTGACTAAGAAGCCAAGATAGGTCATAAGCTGAACCAGAAATAGCATGTTCTGGTGTAACTGAGCTTCTCCTTGGTCTGCTGCCAGGAATCGTCCAGGTACCCAAGCATTTGTATTAGCTGGAGGTGGGAAAACTTGATGACTTGCGCTGTAATCCTAGTTAACATCCAAGGGACTATTGATATCCCCAGTGGTAAGACCTGGAACTCATAGTGTCCACCATTGATTAGGTCGAGACTGAAGAGCCAATCTCCTGTCCTCAAAGTTGACCGCAACTTCCGTACGGATTCCATTTGGAACTTTGGAGGAGGTACCAGGCATGATTTGTTGAGGAACTTTAGTCTATCATCATCCTCAAGTCGGGCAAATTTTTCTTCGGAACTAAGAATACAGGAGAATAGAAACCTCTGGTCTTGTTGTTCTCCGATAGTTTCCAAATGGCTTGATTCTTTAGTAGCTTCCTGACGGCCAGATCTGCTGCAGCCAGCTTGGCTCCGACAAGATGAAATCTGCGTCCGACGGCCTGAGATGCCAGTGCGGGATGCCTCTTGAAATGCAGTTTATATCCATGAGCCATGACGTCTAGGACAAGTGGTTGGGCGTAATCTGTTTCCAATTTTTGGCGTATGACAGAAGACCCCCTCCCACTCTCCCTGGAGTCAGCATTATGTTGCAAGACGGTAGGAGTAAATCACAGTCCATAGACATAACCAGGTCGAAAAGGTCTATAACAGCGGAATGGGTGGCAAGGAAGTCAGAACCTGCATTTACCTCTGCCCCCGGACTTGCCCTGGTGATTGGATCCTCGTTTCGTGTAGTTGGGCTGACAAAATAAATCCTGAGAAGACTGATGCTTGTCAAACTCCCGACTCGGTTGGAACGAATCCTTACCAGGGGGAACAAACTTCTACTCAGGTGGCTGTTTATATGACGAGTCTTTCTGATCCCAGGAACGCTTCGGGAGATAGGAAGATCCATGTGCCTTGACAGCTAGGTTGATAGTTGACACCTGGAATCATTCAGTTGGGTCTTGTCTGACCTTGTCTATGACATGTCCCAATTTGCCATTGAACATCTTGGGAGCAGATATCGTTTGTGACATTATCAACCTTTTTATCAAATCTGTGCTAGAAGTTGTTGACACTGTACCCAGAGTAGCTGTGAAGACATCCAGACTGGGGTGGAGAGTAAGTCTTCCTGCATTCTGACTATGGTGTCTAGCAGGCTGTGGATGAGTCTGACCTGATCCGTCCTAATAATCATAGGAGTCTCTCTGGATATGCCTTCATATGATGTCTGCAATGGTGGAATGATGTGCCTGATTCCGGCGACAAGCCAGTTGATATAGGTTCCAATGTCCTTTAATGTCTGGACGCAGGAAGCCAGGAAGTAGGTAACATGACTTTAGTATAAGGGTTGCGTCCTAGCTTCGTAAAGTCCTCGCCCAAAACTTGATGGTCAAGAAGTGGAGAATCGTGGGTTTGATACAACTTCGGCTTCAAAGGAGGTTAGGGTAGGGGGTCATCATGTTTGAACTTGAGTAGACTTTCAGAAGCCTGATGTACCACCTTGCCTGCATAACTTGGCCATGGCAATGTCTGGTGGATATGTTGAGATGATGTTGGAGCATGACATCCTCTGTATTCCGGCATCTTACGTGGTGAATTCTCTGTCATTGGAGGTTGGAGTAAAGGCATAAGATGATATAACTCCTCAATGAGTTCCACATAGCTATATCCCTCTGTATAATCCCGCTGGGGTGAATCCTCAGACTGATTAACCTCATATAGGTCAGATTCCGCCTCAGAATGGCTGTTGGTAACTCCCGGGAGGAGTGGATGTTCGTCATAATCAATACACTCAACGTGTTCGCCGTGCTGTTCATCAACCGCTGGTGACCAGGACTCTGCTATGAGTAATGTTCGCACGGCTTGTGACCACTGCCCGTGTATAATGGAACCCGTACGGATATGATGGTCCTCCATCAAACAGCTAAGCTGTCCCATAATGTAATCTCCGTCTTAGTCGGTAGACCCTTGACAGTCCAGTGCGGTCGTTGCGGTCGACGAGGTCGGCTTGGTTTCCGTCAGTTGATGGTGAACAAGCGGTTGAAACAGTCTGCTGGCTACTGTGGGATCCATGCGGTGACCGTACGGTGTCTTAGATGAGGAAGATGGCTTTGTGGTACCCCCACGGGACAGTAGATACAATTCACACTTGTGGACTTAATACACTGTGGTCGGCAAATAGGGCACGCTGGGTGTGGCTCCCTCACCAATTTGATCTTTTGCCACAGACTTGCATATTGCAAGGCTTTACATGCCCCTTGCAGAGTGTACACTGCAAAGCAGCGTAGACAATACGGAAGAAACACAAGACAGTGAACTGATACATGGCTGACATGAAACAAATTATGCACATGCGGAGCTCAAATGACAAATTTAGGAAGTGATAAGCAAATACCACATGCAAGACATATAATAAAAATATAGTACAGTCAAATCTGTACTAAGGATAAACTGGGTGAGAGCTTCTCATGACAGGACTTGTCTCTGTGAGCGAAAACAACAAGAGTGTCGTGTGCACCTTGGTTCACATGTTCGCGAATGTTTTTTGCAGATGTTCTCTCTCTGAGAATAATCTGCTGGGCTTATGTTTCAGTTCTACAGCACGAGATTGCATTAAATGTAAAGTTAAAAACAGGACGGTGTAATGGCCATAAAATCAGATTTGAACCTCTTGAAGCAACCGAGATGTTATCTATCAGAGGAATAAATATTTGAAGTTTCAGTTTCATTGGTCCACTGGTTTCTAAGGAGACTATGTTTTTGTCGGAAGCCGAACGCTGCAAGGTGGAGGCAAGACAAACAGCCCATGACATAAACTCACTTCACTTTCAGTGAGGTCAGCTGAAAATGCATCTCATACATAAGGACTGTCAAGTAAACCTTCAGGCCGAGTACTTGGTGCTCATAAAGATTACTTACAGCTTGGTCTAAATGTTGGTCAGTGGGTGCTAAGACTGCAAATATGGTACTTGTAATGTGTCATACAATAGGTAGATACATCTCATAACAGATAATGTACATGGTCATATTTATAAAATAGACATTAACATATTATATTTTGCATGACATCTTACACACAGCCAAGGTCCAGTTTACCTTAAAGCATAGGGACCAAAAAGACATGGGTCACAAAAACAAAGCTTTTTGACAGTGACCAAGTTGGGATTATCACTGCCTTGAACAGTATTTCAGTTACATTGCAGCCTGTCAGCACAATGTGGGAAGAAAGTCCAAAAGTGATACAGGTCATGGACATTAAACAAAATATATTTGTTGAATGACTCAAGGCAGGAAACTAGATGTTTGACAGAAATGATGGATGTATGGTGTACTCACAGGTTGTAGTGGACATCAGCCATGTTGCCTCTGTATCTAAGGGCATTACGATATGCCTCCTCAGCATCTGATGTCCGGCCCTGCTCGTTCCAAACATTGGCCAAGTTTCCCCAGGCTGTGACAGGACAAAGAACTACCCATAGTTGCATTCATTCACAAGTACCAATCCTTGTTTTCATACAATAGATATTTGCATTAATGTAATTCTGTTAGTGAAAAATAATCCAAATTGTAATGCTATATGAAGAAACTGACATCATGTTATGGGTGGAAAAGCAATTCTATGAGGAGTCTGATTGTGACACCTCTGTAATATTCCTTATTTATAAAAATACACAAGTTCAAGTGAAACATACTTGGCAGTATATATATATATCATAAATAGTAAGCAGATAGATAGCTCGGATAAACTGTCCTATCATCAACCCAGTGAGTGTAACAAATTACTTCAACGTGTTGTTTAACCTGGAATTGCTACAATGTGAGGTCAGATTGTCTATCCTGGAGTACATGGCCTAAGCTTGCTTAACTCAGTGCCAAATGGGTACAACAGTCTGAGGAAATGCATGAAATGCAAGTGGGAGTGTGCAGTGACTGCAGTCATGTATGCAGCATGAAATGTGTCAGAATTGTACACATATGTACAGTGCAGAATGAAGCAGATTATGCAACATACCAGCGATAACTCACGCCACAGGAAGCGACAGCATTTCCCAAATGTATGTATGCTAGGAAACGCATCATCTGACGTCCATATGACCAACGTTTGAAATGTACATATCATTTGGCAGCCAATTTGCTTATATAACGCAGGTCATGAAACATAAGAGCATACAAGTGATCATGAACATATTTGACAGAGGTGTGTGATTATGGTCATCGTTTTCATGTATTGTCTGAGGTGAGAAATAATCATAAATGTTGCTCTTAGCAGACACAGATTTCATTACAACTGAAATCTTGAATGACAAGGTTTAGACATATCCTATGTTTCATACGGTCCAAAATGTTTGGTCAAAGGTAAATGGAAGAGTACCATATTGTGAAAGTAGTATAGGCAATGATGGTTCTGGCTTACTTGCACTGGAGCCAGATTCATATACCTATACCACCACTACAGGGGGAATTTTTTATGTCAAATTGATGATGTGCATCAACGATCGTCATAAAATCGTATTAAAAGAAACATCAATATTAATTAATAATGAATAAAATTTACTATAGCCCACGAGGATATTGGAAAGGTGTAGGAGCAATACAAAAATTAGCCACTGTGGCTAAGGTATCTAAAGATGTGGCCAAGGATTGGTTAAAGAAACAAGCGATGTGGCAAATATACTTACCAGCACCGTGTTATATACCGAGGAAGAAGTTTGATATTTTTACAACAAATGAAGTTCATCAGGCTGACCTCTTGTTTCTTCCCCATGATAAGGTAAGACGCAAAAAGGATAAATACGTATTAACCGTAGTGGATGTGGCTAGTCGATAAAAAGAGGCTGAAACATTAACTTCGAAAGATTCAACAGAAGTAGCTAATGCACTGAGTCGCATATATAAACGCGGACCACTAAAATGGCCTAAGCTATTTCAAGTAGATCCTGGTCGCGAATTTATGGGATCAATAACTAAAGTGTTAACAAAGCATGATGTCGAAATCAGGCGTGGTGAAAAAGAGGCCCACCGTAGTCAAGCTATCATTGAAAGATTTAACCGAACATTAGCAGAACGTTTGTTTGGCTATCAGTATGGGATCGAAATGAAATCAGAACGATTAAGATCAACCGAATGGGTGACACAATTATCAGCTGTTGTATCAGCGCTGAAAAATGATGTAACAAGATAAATCGGGAAGAAACCATCAGATGCGATTAAAATGAAATCCGTGACTTCCGAATCTTCAGCACTGCGGAGAGGCAAAGAACAAAAACTTCCGGATAGAGTAAGTGTAAGATATTTATACAAGCCCGGTGAACTCGAAGGAGGCCTACGTTGCGCAACTGATCCGATTTGGTCCCTTAAGACATATAACATTAGTTGATTGGTTATGAAAGAAGGAGAGCCTATTCTTTATTATCTTAAAGATGGACCGGGTAGGGCATTTGTACGAGAAGAGTTGCTCATAGTTCCCAACGATACAGTATTACCACCATAACCATAAGCGTAGGTAGTTATACCATCATTTTTAATCCATCTCTTTGTATATAAGGGGCATAATGATGTCTTGTTCATTCTTAATCCATATATCCTATGATTGACACTTCTTAAAGCGTTCATCTCGTGTTTGAATGTTCTACCGTTGAATAATGCTTCTTTATACTGTTCGTGTTTGACATGCTTTTTTACAACATACTTCTTAACACCCTTAGCTTTTCTTATCTCTCCGTTATCGGACTTCTTTATAGAATACATCTCAGGTCTTAATCCGACATACTCCGCTATAGGAGTCCCAGCACATTCATCCTTCATCCTACCTAACACCTTTTTATTTACAACGCTGTGCAGTGGATTATCTTTTGGGTAATCGCTCCTATCGTACATATCGATTTTTTCTGCCATATCTTTATACACATCCTCGGTTTGTATTTCCATCAACAAAGAATCTGTGTCGGTATATAACACCTCACATCTATCACCGTATTGCTTCTTAAGTTCGTTGTAATAAAAGTCATACATTAAGTGTTTTGACAAGTCAAGAATACTCATACCAACGTACACCGGTCTATTGAATTTTATATTACTCTTCTGCATATGCAACGCGGCTCAGTCGTTATCAAATATCTTGCTTCTGTTAAAAGCCAGAATGGCTATAAGTTTCCTGAGTCTTTCTTCCTCATTAGACATCTCTAATTTAACATCAACACACTTCCTTAGATTCTCCATAGTTTTACAAAATACTGAGTTATTCATTAGCTTATATAGATTCTTTTCAAAATCGCTGGTAGCTATCTTTCTTAAATCTGTGTTCAGCCTTATATAGGGCTCCATCCAAGGGCTTTGATCAAACTTTAGAACTCTGTGTATTTTCTTTAGTTTCATACCTAACGATAGATATAACTGGAGATTGCTGTAGTGAACTATATATTTTGTCTTATCCATCAAGGAGTGTTGATATTCCGACATTCAATCTTTATTAACCATTAATCTTTCAGTAGCTAGTGGATAACTGTTATGATCTTTATGTAACAACTTTGGATATTCCAAGTCAACTTCTAGTATGTATCCTTTATCAGAATCTGAGGGGATATCATTCACTTCGATATCATTCACACCGACCCACTCAAAACCACCCATGTGTAAAGGTTGACTCATAGCCCATCCGTACAAATTGTTGGCGTCGAGATATAATATATGTGTGTCGGGTTTACTCGAATCATATCCTTCCACTAATTTATTATTAGCCTTAGAATACCTTTTCGCTACCATCGATATAAAACCTCTTAATCCTTTCTCAATAAACAAGTGCATATCGTAATCATTGAGTAGTTTTAGTTCTACACCGGTCTTCTTCAACAATGCATCCCACGATAGTCCGGGACTGGAATAGTACCATGCCGGGTCCAAGCCGTATTGTTTTAAACATGTCTTTCTAAATATCTCGAATATATCGACGAGTAAGAGTACATCGGTTTTTAAGTACAGATCGTGATAATCGCCTAAATTCTTACAACCTAATTTATCCCACACCGTCAGAGCGTGTTCATAATCGGCATCGGTTATTTTAGATTCTGTTAAGTTACTATAGAATGATTCAAGGGGTGGTAGTTTAGTTTCGTTGAATCTAGACCAATCATCCATATATTCTTAAGGATATTCACCTTTTCTCAACAACAAATGACGACTCCGATCGGTATATTGATTTGTTATAGCAAAGTAATCGGGATTGTTCGCATTAGCTTAATTGTCCAGGGAAGATAACAGAAACTGTACAGATTCTATGAATCTAAGTCAATTACTTTGCTTTATTCTGGCTTTCCCATCCTTGTCCGTATAATGTATAGTTTTAGTCAACGAGAATTATATATATTTTTCCATATTATTAGGAATGCACGTTAAGCCGCCGTCAGTCTTTGAGATAGCTTGCATAATGAGATGTGAATCATATCCTCTAAGGTTATGAAACACTACGGGGATGGGGAATTCATTTTTAGTTTCAAGTTACACACGTTATGCGCGGCTCCCCGATAATTACCCGTGACGTGGCAATGATCTCTTACGGAATCCCCATTCAGGGGTTTATTACAAACATGACAAATCGTTGACTTCTTATAGACCCTCCAATCATCCCTCATCATACACATGGGTTTCTTACGCGATAAATTTTCCCTGATTATTCTCCCTTCATTTTGTAGATATTCTAGGAACTTTCCCGCTGCATCGGGACCTTTGTAAATCACGGGCGGGTTTGTTTTCCCATCATACCTTACAACTATATATCCAAACCCACAAGGAATATGTTCTTTGGTTTTGTACGTAAAACTACTATCAGTATTGCGTTCAGTATTTTCTATAGGTTTGATAAGTACTTCGAAGTCAGCGTAAATTACGTACGGTACTGGCATTTGATTACAATAATGTTCAAATTTTAATATATTTTTTCCCTCTTTAGGCATATCGATCCTGATAGCATTCTGTCCAACACCTCTGCAGTCTTCTTTATGAGCTTCTAATAGATCTTGTCTGCTGTACCCATGCAGGCATCTTTTGCAGAAATATTTCTTTCTAGCATGTTTTGTTTGATCGTATAATAGCCTGCTTAAACTCTTTATCTACGTATAATGATATTTACCATCTTTTTCGATAAGAAATGAATTGATTCTGGGAATATGTTCCGGAGCGGAGCTTATCCTGTGTACAACAATTCCTTTAGAAGAATGTCCGAAAACATTTATAGCTAAATTATTTTGCTTTTCCGCAATATCAATTTGTCAGATTGGTGTAGGTTCGTCTATACCATCGAGGTTTAGTCCATCATTTTGGGGATACAGTGCCGTGCCAGTTATATTCGTACGATCCATAACGGTTTATAACCGTCGAATATTTTACGAGCACAAAAATGTTTCGTGTAGTGTCAATAATGCTCGGAACCATGTTTAATTTGACATGACGTCACGT